AAGAGGGTAGCAGAGACAGGACGTAGAACCGAAACTTCAAGCAGGACTTTAAACTGGTCTCCTCCCTGGAGCCAGGCTGAACTGAATTGAAACCAGAGGAAACAGGTGAGGGGAATAAATAATAATTGAGGCAGGGAGGGGAAAAACAACAGGTGAAAGGAATGACTAATTAAGGGAGAGCAAACAGGCCAGATCATGACAACCTGAGAGAATGATCCAGATTTACAGATGTGTCTTAAAGGTTGGAATTTAATTTGAATATAAAAATCTAACGTAATTTTTTAATAGTGACACAGATTTTTTGATAAAGGATACAGCTTGGCTACCCAATGCACTACAGCTGTCCAGGATACAGTATAAAAAACTGGAGGCCATTTCGTTTTATGGTTATCATTATGTACAAAAAAATCTGTTTTTCAATTTGTATATTATAAAAAAGTTTCATTTTAATTTTTTGGAATGGAACAAGAGGGAAATTTTCACAGACTCTGTATTGATGCAAACTGGCCTGTCCCTGAACACAATGTTATGTTGCTCACAAGGGAAGAAGACAGAGAATGACCAGATGGCACTTATAAATGCTATTGATTGATTATTAATCTAAGGAAATGGAAGAAGCGCTTTCCTGGATTTTACACTTGAATTTTGTTTAAGTATTAATAAATATGTAAAAATGGATGAAAACATCACTGTACATGTTTCTTTTTTTGATTTTCTTAAAATGTATTTAATTTTATCTATGAGCTGGAAATGTCCCCAGAGTAGATTGCAGAAATCTGGTCACATTAGTGTTTCCTCATATGCTAATTACATTTGTGTGTCTGGTAGCTAAGAGCTCCTTTGTTTTCTAAGCCGAGATTAAAAAAGCTAAATGATTATTACATTAGAAACAAAAAATGTATTATTTTATGAATTTATGTTTTATTTACCTCCTTGGCTTTGCATTGTTAATAGATTTGAACACATTCCAAATGCTCTAAATTAGCCGATAAATTCTTATATTTGAATAGAAGTTGTCTTGAATTTATTCCATATATGTGTGCAGTTAACATTTTGACCATGATTTGAGGTGGATTCACACTTGTTGTCCTAACAGTCAGTTTGCCATGTATTCACTGAAAAATATATGACAGTCCATTTGAATTAAATCGGCTGATTACGTCATAGTGCAGCGACTTGGCCTGTTCAGATGGGAAGACTCCTGCTTATGCAGCCGACAAATACAGCCTTATTTTTGAGGGACAGGTCCAGCGCACTGGAAAAATGAACTAGAAATAATTAAATTAAGCTTATTTACCCTTAATTTGGGTAGGTAAATGAGATAGTTTGCCTATGGAATTAATATTCTTACTCTTAAAATAAGATAATTCGATAATATGCACTTGAAATAAGACACTTCAATTGTGTTTTCTTATTTTAAATGTAAATTTTCTTGTTCCATTGGCAAAATTTCTCTTTAACCTCCTCAATCCAGGAACAAATGCACATATTTTAAGAAAATTAATTTATCTAGATTACGATTTTTTCCAGTGTGTATCATCCGTAGCATTGGGTATACCGTGATTCATCGCAAGTCCAAGCAAACCTGCTGCTTTGTGTTTAGAGGAAAAAGGTAAATGGCACCGAACTGTGGTGAATATTGTAAGTGAAGTTCAAGATAAAGTATGTCAATATTTCCATTTGAAATAAATGAAAATAGTTGTTTTAAATGTTTTTTTTTTAATGTTTGGTTTATTGAAAGGTTTTTATCTGCCCTTGTGCAAATGGGTGTGGCTGGAATTTAGGCACAGATTTCAATATCTGTTCAGGTGGTGTATTACAAATCTGATATTCGCATCAATGATACTGCTGCTGAAGCTTCTCAAAAATTTTAATTAGCAAACTAAAAAGTAGTGAGAAGTTTGGCATCCATTCTTTGCCTGCTCTGTGTATCAACTACCACAGTTGCTAGGCGACAGAGCATACGCTGAGCAAAGGGCAGTGGAGGCCGTAGAAGGCTGGATCTGTTTGAATCCATAGCCAAACTCTTCCAGCCTCTTTATTTTCCCGGCCCTCGAAGGCCCCAGTCTTGGTAGACCGGGTCCCTGAAGGACGTAGTAAAATTGAGCACACCCTGAAGTCCAAGGTCAACCCAATCCTCCACCAGGAGGTTTCTTGCCCCCTGCTGCTGACCAATTTTATGGAGATGCAGATTTAATTTTCCATTTAAATCCGGGTCTTTGTATCCACACACAGTGCCAAAGCTACAAGTACCTAGTTTAAGATCCATGGTTTCGATGATTGGTCAGCAAAGTCGCCTAAACTTAATACAATAGAAAGTCTATGGAGTAATGTAAAGACGACAATGTGATTCGTCAGGCCTAACAATACAGAAGAACTACTGACCACGATCAGAGAACAGGTTGCTCTCTGATCTATACTGCCAAGGTTTTAAAACCATGGACACCACACTGCTGTAGTAATCTAGGAAAAAGAAGCCCCAACTTAGAGTGCTGTACATGCTCATACTCTTCATGTTCACACTTTTCAGGTTTCTAACTTTTCTGGAAGTCCTTTATTTTCTATTGGTCACTTTAATAAATCTGTGTATAATATATGAATATAATGTAAATGTTTCTCTCTTTTAATTAAATTATAGAAAAAAAATGAACTTTTCACTAAATTCTAATTATATGTCCAGCAAATGTAAACATCCCTATGTGTCATGTTTTTGGCCTTATGGCTGGCTTGATTGCTCATTTCATTCACCTGTTTAACTCTGCCCTGTTTCTAATCACTGCTCATCTGATCCACCTGTTCCTGCTTCTACTGAAACTCTTTGGTCCCAGCCATCATTCTTAAGGTTTTGGTGTAGAGATTTTTCAAGCGCTCTTTTTAGTGTTCAGTTTGCCTGATCCTGACCTGTTTCTGTATTCTGACTTTTGAGCCTGCCTGCCCCTGACTGATCTGTTTGCCTGGCCTGTATTCGGACTCCTGTTGGATACTTCTGTGGACTGAAACTGATCTGCCTCTTGACTTCGCCCTGTAGATGATCCAGCCTTCCTTTTTCTGCTGGGTCTGATCTCCTGTCAGTTTTGCAGCCTTCTGCCTTCCGTGTCTGGAACTCTCTGGCGGTTCAGTGCATCTTGTCAGCCAACCAGCTGGAATCATCCTTGTTCTCTGGGCACGGACTGAACTGTCAAACCAGGTTAGTGACTCCCATGTTCATAATCGGATTTTCGTGGCCACCAACCCGTGTTTCCCTCCTATAGACATTGTTGTGATAGACGCCCTAGCCATTGCTTCTGCAGACCTGCTTGTTTTCAGAGGTGTGAAGTAACAAAGTACAAATATTTTTTTACTGCACTTAGGTACACTTTTTAGGTATCTATACTTTACTCCATTACTTTTCTTCCTACTTCTGACTTCTACTCATTACATTTTGACACAAGTATCTGTACCTTCTTTTCCTTACATTTTTAAAACAAACATTACTCATTACTCTTGGCTTCGGTTTAATGTTTAGAATTATTTATTTCACGTCATTTGCAACATCCACTGCAGATCATTGGCACCATCCACATCTAGTGAAAACTACTGTAATTGGATGAATCATATAACGCAAACGCGAATTGTCTATGCCATGCTACAATGTCGGATTCAGAAAAAGATGAGAAATGTCTGAAAGGTCGCACACAGAGGAGAGGGTATCGGGAGACGGAGACCAACAAGACCTCCCTCATCCTTGGCCCTATCTCAAAGAATTTTTCGAAATAGTCAAAAAATATTTGTTTTCAGTTCATATAGTGGCATCTGGCTGATGTTTTAAAGGTTATTTTATAGTTTTATACTTTAGGTAGTTTTTGGGGCACATACTTTTTCACTTTTACTTGAGTAAAAAGGTCAAGCTGATACTTTAACTTTTAAAGTGTTTTTAAAACTGCATACTTCTACTAAAGTAACACATGTGTGTACTTTTGGCACCACTGCTAGTTTAAAACAAAAACTTTAAGTTTAACACTGTCTGCCTTGCCTGAATTCTGGGTCCTACTTTCTGAGCCTTGACACTATGAACAATAAAACAAACAATAAGCCTTAACACATGGTTCTTAATATTTAACATTTTGTGCTTTTTTTCCCCTCCTGAATGTGTTTTAAGGGTGATTCTAAGATGCCAAGTGTTTTAATATCTATCTGTGTGGTATGTTTACATATTGAACCGGATGTCTCAACAAAATTTCGCTATGAACTCATAGTGACAATGAAGTTTCTTCATTCTTGTTTGGAATCGTCCCTTTTTTAAGATGCATCACCGCCCCAATCTCAGAACTTTTGCAGCTTCTAAGTTGTTTAGATTTCCTTTCTTTTTTTGAGTTCCTTTTCTCTCCCCTTTGCCTGCCAATGAAGGCTGACCATGCCCGCATTATAAGACAAGAGGTCTTCCCTTGCAACAGCGTGAGCAGTCTTACACATGTAGGGAAAAAGCTAGAATTTGGCTTCAACTTTTCTACTTGCTTCATGGCCAAAATAACAACAAAATAAGCAAACCCACAACAAAGCTGGTTCTTATAGCTTTCTTTCAATGACCACTGTCCATTAACCACACTTTCTCATATGCCAGATTTTTGGAACGGGTAGGGGATAACTGAAACCTGATCCTTAAAAATCTTGGTAATTTCTAAAAGATACTGTATAACCTTTACAAAGTAAGATTGTTCATCTCTGTAAAACCCTTTAATGTAGGATAATCTGAGTGAACATGATGTTTTGGAATAAAGATAAAAGATAAAACCCTTGAAAAATCTCTCTAAAAGAAACAAAGCAAAAATAAAGAAGCTCTAAATCAGCAGATATTTCCGCCTCCTCCAACTCTTTCTTTACACATCAAGGGACAATTCTCAGAATACCGCACTGACACCTCTGTGCAGGTTTAGCACGATGCAGAGGAAACAACAAAACCCAGAGTTCATGTTACCAGAAATGTGCTCTGCTGGAGGATTTGTCGCAAAAAAAAGTGTGCAGAGCAAGTTGGCAGGATGACAATGAAACCTTGATGCACAGCTCAGCAACACACACTTAACTGAAGAACAGAGACTCAGGCGACCATTGTGGTAAGTCCCTCAATATTTCAATTTCCAAACCTTTAGTTGGCATTTGTAACACTTTTTTCTCAGTTACTTCATACACCTTAAAAGAATAGTGTAGTTCAGGATTATGCGTGCGCAAGTGGTGGAGCTGCCTACTTGTGCATGTGTATGCTTATGTGTGCGGGAGTAAGCAAAGGCAGCCACAGGAAGTGAGGGTCGGCATAAGTGTCAAAGCAGGTGGTTCAGGGTATGTTGATAGTGAAAGAAAAATGTTTGCATTGTGGTTTATATGATCACATGATTTTGATTATGGTCACAGCAGTAGGAAGTTTATTTCACACATGTACTGTGTCACACAGTAATTTCAACTCATTCAGAGAAGACTGAAGCAGTAAAGGGCTTAATAGAAATACAGAATTCTTATATTAGTTCCAGTGAATTTCTTTCAGATTCAAAAAAACTCTTTACTCAAAAAGATTTTCAACACAGGCCTTTCCAACATGACTCATTTGATAATGATTGTATCTGACGTTCAGCTTAAAGGGCATAAAAATCCCTGATATGCTTCTAAATTCCCTCACAGTATCTCTTTTTGATCATTTTCATATGTAGAAAATGTTGAGTGTAAATCTTGCAGCGTCCAGTCCTCGTGGTGGTGAGGTGGAACGTGGTGTTCCTCAACAACAAGAGACATGCTGTGACTGCTGGTTGTTGCTTGAAAATTTCTAGGAGGAATTTATTTTTTAAAGACAAGAGCAAAGCAAATTGGTTTGATATATTTTTCTACATCACAGGACGGATGTATTCGGAGTCAAATGATCCAATGGGAAAGTAAGTAGGGATCTGAAAAATTATATCTGGATATTCAGTAGGCATTGGTTTTCAGTAAAGAAAAATGAGCAAAAAAATACATATTTTTTATATATTCAAGATTTTTTAAACAAACTAACCTAATATGATAAAATGCAATTAAAATGTACATTGGCTCAGATCCTCATCTATGTTTTATTCTACATTTGAATATGTAAAGTAGACTGTTGGGAAGATGTTAAGCCAAATGGCTCCAACATCTTCCAACTGTTGCACAGTGTTTTTTTTTTACTTTTTTTTTATGTTTTCTGATAAAGCGTTACTAATATAAACATGTATCCAATTGCACAGAGAAAGTGGGTGAGTTAACAGATGCTTGGTGGCAGGAAATGGAAAGTGTTGCGCACTAAAAATTGTTTTTCACTGAAAACGATTAATATATCTTAAATTCAGAATTACCTGTTCCTAAAGTGTAATTGGTGTATTGGTTATAAAGGTGTATTTACAGTTTAAATAAGAAGTTTCTATAGCGAAAAATCAGAAATTCAGTTAATCAAGATTTTGTAGTAAAACTGCTGTAGAGATGTGGTTGGCGCCCTATAGACAGTTTTTCTGAGTACGCTTTCATGTTGCACCAAAATCTTTTAGATCCCTATAGAAACTGCATTATGTAAAAACATAGCTGAACTCAAAATGTTGCAGCTGCATGTTCCATCAGCAACAGTTTCAACCAAAATGTTTTTGATTTAAATCAATGTGAAGGACATTTTTAATTTAACCAAATGGAAGGTTTAACGCATGAACGGTTTATGGTTACGCCCCAACATCCTATTCAAATCTGAGCCTCGACTTTGACATTACCTCTTCAAAAACTGGAGTTTCTTCAAGAAGCCATTAAGAGGTGGACATATTAGTGCGGTTTGGATGGGCAGCCTCTAGAATAACCCAAAGAATAAGAAGTCACAGTTTCTCTCAATAAGGATTGTCTGGTAGAGAGCATAACTAATGGTTACCACAAGTGGTCCTTATCCTGAAGCAACAAAGCAGCCCCACAGTACCACACTGATTGAGATATAATCATTTATCTTACAAACTAGAGCAGCAAAAACAAAGGTTTTAACTGCACAATCTACCCTAACGAAGCATTAAAAAAGTAGAGAAGATAACGGTAAACTAGCCGGTGAGGGAAGTAGCATCCTTTTCAGAATATTTTCTATGAAGTTATTAGCTCAAAAATGTGATGAAGATAAAGTCTGGCAAATGTGATTCCTTTGACCTATTTTGATTCAGGAGTGATTTTCATTTAGAACACTCTCAGCTCTTCTGTCCATCATCTTTACTGTTAAACCATATGCATTGACTTGAACCTGGAAAAGTCAGGCCTTCAGTGCTCTAGATGTTGTCCCAGGTCCTTTAGCCCTCCTACATGAGTCATCAGTTGGCTCATAGAGTAAAAAATTTGATTTTCTTTTTCTACTTGGGGCATTCCTGGAAACCATCACACTTGTTATGTGAGGTTTTTCTTTCATTTGTGTACACTATGCTTTGCTGGGTTTTCATTCACTGAAAAACCAAAGTCTTTATACCCTCTCCAGGTTCAATATCAGTCTTTTCTTTCTTATAATCTGAAATTTCTCCATATTTCAACAAAATCTGTTGATGCTTGAAGCCTGTCACTTCATGTTGTCAGATAGGTTTTATTTAAATGATTACTTGATTTTCCAGGGTGGACATTAATCAGATAAGGGTGTGACTAGTTGCATCAAAGTTACCCTTAAAGGGGAATTTAGTTTTTTTTTTACATTTGGTCTTTGATTTTAGGTTATTACATCATGTTCTACTCACCCATATAAGTTTTGTGTCATTTGGAGCTGTACTGAAGATATTCCGTTAGGTTACATCCAGGTAATGTCTTCCTATGGGCAAACGAGTTGAAGGCAAGAACTAAACTGTTCATAATTTATTCATTATGGTACGCCAGCATTCAAAACATGTAGGCGAATCACTGTCCCCCAGACATCCGCGGTTGTATTTTTTAGAATTATATCTTTTAAAAACAAAGCAGCGCATGTATGACGTCATCTGCGCGCTGGACTGGAGTTTTTTTTTTTTTTTTTTATTAACTTTATTAAACGAATGTACACTACACCAGGTGGCTACACTCTACCCCTTCTATTCATTCGGCTAGCTAATCTGAATCATTCAATTCCATTTGGAGAGCGAGATCATCTGTGGTAGTAGCACTAGACATCTTCCAGGCATGTGAGTAAAACTAGCAGCAGTTCAGCGGACAGGAAGAACGAACGGTAGCCGGTGCGCGCGGATGACGTCATACAGGCGCCGCTTAGTTTTTTAAAAATAGAAATATTAAAAATATAACCGTGGATGTCTGGGGGACAGTGATATAAATGCTGGCGTACCATAAAGAATAAATTATAAACAGTTTAGTTTGTGCCATCAAGTCGTTTGCCCATAGGAAGACGTTACTTGGATATAACAAAACCGAATATCTTTAGAATGGCTCCAAATGACACAAAACTAATAGTGTGTAGTAGTGAGTAGAACATGATGTAATAACATAAATGAAGGGCCCAATGTAAAAAAGAAACGGCGTTCCCCTTTAAACAAAATATTTGTGAAGTCTAGAAAAATTATTTTTCTTAAAATAAGTGCATTTTTTCTAGAAATTGAAGAGGTAAGTGAGACACTTTGCCAATGGAACAAGACAAATTCCATTCCAAATAAGAAAAAAACAACAACAGCTGCAGTCTCCTATTTCAAGTGCATAGTATCTACTTATCTTGTCTTAATGGTAAAAAATACTCATTCAGTTGGCAGATCATCTTATTTACTGACTCAAATTAAGGGTTAATACACTTGATTTAAGAAATGTTAACTTATTCCTAGATCATTTTTGCAGTGCTGAAACTTTAAATTTTGACAAAGAGCAAATATAGAAAATAACTGCATAGGGGTAAACACTTCAACAAAATACTTATTCTTTCCTGTATTTCAAAAGAGTGTGATTAGGTTTTATCATTCATTTTATAAATTTTCTGTACTTGAAAAATGTTATTTTTCTGTTATTTTACACTACAGCTAAAAATTGTCATCTTTCTTAAACAGCAAAATGAGCGGAACAGAGGACATTGGAAATTACACCTATAATTATGATCCTGACCCTGAAAGCTGTGAAGCCAGTCAAGTCTTCGGCAATGGATCCACTTTATTTGATGTTATTTACTACGTGCTCTTCTGCCTGGGTCTATTCGGTATACATACATTTCAAAGACATATTTTGTTTACTTAATCTGAATTTAACTATAAACAGTCTATATATAAAATGCTGATTTTAAAACTTGTATTTATACTTGATATACTTGTATAAATGTATTTTTCAAAAGTTTACAAGCCAAAACAAAGACAAAAAAGATTTATTTCTCTGTTATTAAGAAGCTATTCTATTTCTATTTCTATTAGGAAACGTGATTGTACTCTGGGTTCTTGTCCATCACACAAAGAAAAGGACGATGACGGATGTGTTCCTCCTTAATTTGGTCCTGTCTGACCTTTTAACGGCTGTGTCTCTGCCTGCCTGGGTCCATAGTTCCCAGAGCCTTCCATCCTGCAAAGTTGTTACAGGAATCTATCAGGTAAGATTCATTTTCTAGGATTTTGAAATAGAGAAAATTTCAAAATCCTCATATTGCAGACCTTTATCTGGTTGCAAGCAGCCTATCGGTTAATACGTAAACACACGCAATTCTGGCTAACTTTCTCTTCTACCTTGTTCTCACTGACTTTCCCATTTTCCTCTGACCAGTTGGGTTTCTACAGTGGGACATTCTTTGTGACCTTGATGAGCGTGGACCGCTACTTTGCCATCGTCCGCGCCGTGGCAGCAATGCGAACACGAAGGCTTCGCTACGGAGTCATTGCCAGCATCACCATCTGGGTCATATCTATGATCATAGCAACACCGCAGGTGATCTTTGCCCAGTTGGAGGAAGAAGACGAGGACAATAACAGCTTCCATTGCCATCCTGTCTACCCAGAGGACACCTATCAGTCCTGGAAAATGGGACGAAACTTCACGGAGAACACTGTGGCCCTTTTTATCTGCCTTCCTGTCATGATTTTTTGCTACGTTAAAATCCTCATAGTGGTCTCTAAATCCAGGAATTCTAAAAGAGATAAAGCAATCAAGCTGATTTTCACAGTGGTTTGCCTGTTTGTACTGTGCTGGGTGCCCTACAACATAGTAGTTTTCCTGCAGACTCTGCAGTTGATGGAGTTCATAGACCCCTGCCAGGCCCAAAAGGCCATCAGCTCAGCCATGCCCTTTGCTGAGATAATCGCTCTGTCTCACTGCTGCATTAACCCAGTCATCTATGCATTCATTGGGGAGAAGTTCAGGAAGACATTGACCAAAGTCCTTTCAAAGTATTTCAGTCGGAATTACCGGAGCGCAGGGGTTTCCATTAGCCACACCACAGACACACGTGACAGCTCCAACACACCTCTATGATCAGATTATTGAAATTGGGTCATGTGTGTAATGAACGGCTAGATATGTCATGTTCCTTTGACTCACTGGAGTGAGAGACTAAAGAGATCAAGTTTGTTATCTGTCTAAGAGAGCACGTTGGCAGTGGTTGTGGTGAAAGGGAGGGGAGGGGCGTCGCAAACGCGGTTTAGGTCTGCAAAAACTTTAGAGCAAGCTTTTCCTTTTCCCCTACAAGGTGATGACTCATTTGCAAAGTGCACAAGAAATACCTGAAACATTTCTTTTCATTCTTTTTGCTTGACATTTACAGTAAAGTCAAAAGACAAGTCAAAAATATAAAATTCTCCTTGATTTAGGATGTGGAGGAATATAGATTATATTGAATAATGATGATTTTTGTCCTCTAGTGTAAATACAGTGTTGTTTATCAATACAAAATTTTAGATGTTGCATTTGTGTTTTTATTATCTTTGTCAGCTTCATATTCAATAAACATCATATGTTTAATCATCAGTGGTCTTGACTTTCTAAAACACTTTTGCTATTTAACATCTCACACCTATAAGTTCTTAGTTTCAAATCTGACAATAGAGAAAGATAATCTCAGTAAAAACAAATGGCATTTATCAATTCAGTTTAATAAGGATGAAATTCATCCAAGCCAACCTTGCCATACATAATAATGTAATTGCCTACTTAACAGCTGCTTTCGAGAACCTACAAAAACTCACAATGAATTTTTAAGAAAATCTTTGTTGAGAGATTTCTGTCTACTCTAAGAAACATGCTTTTCTTTAGCCTTAATAAATAAGCTTTACTTAAACGATAATGAAGATTTTTTTCCCCCAGTTTTATATTTTAGGCAAAAAATACAAAAAAAATTTTTAATCATAAAGCCAGCAAGAGTTCTCAGGGACTCAGGGAGAATAAAATAAGCAGTTCTTTTGCTCATTGGGGCCCTTTAATTTTTATTGAGTCTGTTATATATTGGTATTTGGTAAATGGCCTGTACTTATATAGCGTTTTTTCAAGTCAGAAGACTTGACCAAAGCGCTTTACACTACATTCAGGCATTCACCCATTCACGCACACACTCACACACTGATGGTGGCAAGCTACATTGTAGCCTCAGCTGCCCTGGGGCTCACTGACAGAAGCGAGGCTGCCGTACACTGGCGCCACCGGGCCCTCTGACCACCATCAGTAGACAATGTAGGTGAAGTGTCTTGCCCAAGGACACAACGACACTGAAAGTCGGAGCTGGGGCTTGAACCATCAATCCTTCAATTTCAGGGCAAACCCCTACATCTGGCGCCACTGTCGCCCTGTTCCAGAACCAGTGTCAAAAATCCGTGTTCAACAGACCTACCTCACACCCTCTGAGGAAATGGAGATGAGACTGCATCAAATCCAAGCTTACAGTTCAGTTGGGCTGCCACCCAGCTCACTCTGGGAATCTCTGCGTGGGGGGCAAGAACATCAGCTGCAAATTCAACTCAACTCAAGACTTCTAATTCTGAGATGGGTGTGACTGCAAATAGACTGATATCACTAGGAAGTCTGGGTTTTAAAAAAAAACTGACCGTTGAAATATGTCTCTGAAACATTTCACCTGTTCAAAGCCGTTGTCTGCCTATTACGCTAATCCTATGGATGGTTATGAGTTCAGAATCATGCATGTCACCTATAGGAATAGGCCTGCTCACCGAAAGTTTGGTCTCTCCACTTCCTCAGAGAGGAGCATGGTAAATGCAGTTCAGCAGGTATTTAAAGGGGAAATCGTTCTCTTTTTCATCTTAAATCATTGTAGATCGTTCTTTTTTAACAACCTTTAATGTATTAATTTTTGTTTTTTCTTTTTAAACTTTTAAATTAAATAAAATCTGTAATACAATGAATTTACACAATTATTTATCTGAGCTCCTGTTAGTTTTAACAAAAGATTACTTACTTTTAAAAGAAAACTAACATTTTAGGATCTGGTTACACTCTCCTGCCCTAAACTGATATATGTCCCTGTACGTGTAAGCTGTCAGGCATGTTTTAGTTGAGGGGGGAAATGTAGAGAAGGTGCAGAATCCGCTTGATCTTCATTCAGAACATCAGACAAGACAGTGGTCAACACATGGAAAAAGAACCACAGTGATGAGAGGATTTCTAAGTTCAGGATAATCGAGTCGTCTAGGCGCCTGATTCAGAGTTGTTCATGCCCAGTATCTCTCCTGCTTTGTACTTTCCACCACCCTTCCTGTCTTCTCCATCTTGACCTTCTGACATATAAAGGGGCACTGACAGCTGCCAATCACAGATGTCAGTGGAACGATCTGGTATGGTTTCCTTCTCAACAGGGTGTACGCCCACAGCTACGTCTTTTTCAGATGCTTTTGATGCGGTCTCCTCTAGGTACTTCACTGGTTCGGGTCATTCTTACAATATGTTACTACTGATTGTCAATAAGATTATGGGGTTTCAGAGGACTGAGGGGCACTGGTAGACACATCCAGTGGGTTGAACAGTTCGGTGGTGCCAATTACACCTTGGCTATTTGCCGGACTCTCTACAGGACATGTATCTAGGATTGGAGTGTACGGGAAATCTTGGTCTTTGGACGGGAGTTCACTGGGCTGTACTGGGTTCTCATGAGCTGTGGAGGCTTACACAGTTGAGGGTTCTCGTAACCAATAAATCTGTAATACAATGAATTTACACATTTTTTTATCTGAGCTCCTGTTAGTTTTAACAGAAGATTGCTTACTTTTAAAAGAAAACTTACATTTTAAGATCTGGTTACATAAAGGTTTAGTCAAAATCAAGCATCAACTCAAATTGAACTAACATGGGGTTGATCTAAAGTAGCTTTCACCAGCTGTCTCACCTCAGCTTAATTGCTGTCACCTAGCAACCATCTGTGAAGCCAAGGGAGTCTGAACAAATTTTTTTCCAATAACTTTATCTCTCTCTCTCTCTCTCTCTCTCTCTCTCTCTCTCTCTCTCTCTCTCTCTCTCTTTCTCTCTATATATAAACATTTAAATCATCCAAACATTAACATTTAAATATTATATATGTGTTTAACCTCCACCCAGTAGTTAAACCCAGCAGTAAGTAGAACATAATGTACCCAGAATCTGGCGCCTTCTTTAGGAGTGCGCAGGGAAGACCACCTCCTCAACACATTTGCTGATTTTGAAGCAGCTTTCAAAGAGTCGTGAATTGGGACAGTTGTGGTTACAGCACTGTGACGGAATTGGTACTAGTTCAAAAGAGGGGTATCCCCCACTTATCTTTTACTGAGGGTGTACATATCGGCTACTGAGGAATTACTTTTGAACAGCCCAATGAAAGCAGAGGTTTTTAAATAATGAAGTATAATTTAACATATCAGTTACCATACTCCAATAGCTTTTTTCAGTATCAGTACTGATTATTACCAATTATTTTTCCAATGTCATTTTACATTTACTAACTATATTTGAACACATATTAATGTACTTTTAATTTCTTAACTTCTCCTAACTGGTCTGTTACTTCTCTCCATCACAATATTCACATATTGTGATGTAATGGCAGCAGGAAAAATCAAGAATGCATAAAGTTCAATTAAAGTTAAAGCACAGTTCTTTTTATAGAAAACACTAGCAAAATGGAGAAATAGTGGGGAAAACATTGCAAATGATGGGCCAGATTCTGAAAGTCATTTCTCATCCATTCCTCCTTTTTTATTTACTCTTATACTTCAGGTTCTATTTCAATTTAAATGCTTCTAGCTACTTATATTTAAAATTATGTATTACACCTCTTTATAAAAGATATTTGCAGACGCATACTGCAAGGCTTTTTCTCTCTTTTTACATGCGTGTGCACAACACTGCAGTAATTTTAACTTGTTGCCAAATGGGGCAAATGTCAGCAGAACTCTAGAACTTGCGCCATGGTCCTTTAAAGCAACACATGTGTTACTTTTAGCCTCTAGGGGCACTAGACTTCCAGGTTTATTGTGCCTGATAGCAACTGATAAAACACGTTTATAAAATTAAACTCTGTTTTTGATATCTGAGAGCAGACCATTTTGGCCCAGCAGATTGAGAAATCATGGAGTTACTTGTAAAGTAACACTCTAGATTAAATCAACATCAGAGAACCAAAAATATGTCTGATGAGGTACAGTAAGTGTCATAATGACCACCTTAAATCTGATCCTGATTCCATGCACATGTGATGCAAATTTTGAGTGCTCGTTTAAACATTTGATAAACAATAAGGAGAGGAGAATTAGATGTCTTTTCATGCATTGGAGTGAATTAGCAAGGCCATGTAAAGCATAATATGCTTACATTAAAATATGACATTAAATCTGCTACATTCTACTCTTCTTTCATTCTCTAGCTTTGCATAATTTACTGTTATTTTAGCTTTTAACTTTATGTTTTCTCCTTGTTTGTTGTTTCTCATCTATATCTGGCCTGGCATTCTTTTTGACTTTTCTGGAAGCTAGCTTCTGCTGCCGCCCTCTCTGGTCTGTTCCCACTGGCCGAAAAGCAGGTTTAAACCTGAAAACAATCAGCTTTTTTTGGCAGTGGTAACAGCTCATTGACATGTGTCTACCCGTGTCAAACGACTCGGCTCTGATCAGCATGCTGTGGGAACACCAGACCCGGGTTGGCCATCTAAATTAGGTGACACTATTGAACGCAACGTACAGATATCAACACACACCAGCCACGTCTGATCTGACAAGCTGAAACAACTCTGTTTACATTAGTTAAACATGGCACAGCACTGGTAAGAGAGGTTCGGAAGGATAATAGAGTGACACAATAAAGCACACTAACTATGCCCTGGCTTCCTTGAATGTTGCTCTCCATTTTTACATTAGTGATTTATATCGTACTGGTGAGAGCATCAAAACGTGATAGTGTCAGCAGACTTGCAGCTGCGGTGGGTCAGAGCCCACGTAGCTTGCCAGCCTGGGGTTAGACCTAGCTTACTTTGCCAATGGGAAGGGAGCCAAATGCCGATTGTTAACGGGTTGACACATGTTTGAAAAACATGTGTCAACCCACTATTTTAACTGGGAAAGAGGCTCTACAAATTATGTAATTATTCTCATCTCCCCTAGACATAGTTGGTCAAGAGCTTATCTGCTTGTGTATGTTTCTCAAAGCTGCTGAGCTGACAGCCATCGTGTTTTTCTGTTCTCTCAAGTGTTTGAATTTTGTATCTTCTCAAATACCCAGTCGGAAGAAGAATGTGGCTGTTTTCATTTAGCCTGGTTCTTAGTGGAGATTTATTCTTGTTCAAGGTAAGTTTTCCTTCCTGTTATCCCTGCATTTATGCTACAGTAGCTATAAGGGATCTGCTACAACAGCCTGATGTCGTAACTTTCTAAAGCCCAATTTAATGCTGCAAGTTAGTGATAGAGCAATCTTGGAGGTTTCATTGGATAGAAAACTTTTTAACCAATTAGAATAATA